TCACTGCATCAGTCAGCAGCCACCTAACTATACAGACATTAGAAATTACACACTTGTCTCAAATAACATCAAATAGCTGTAGGTAAAATGCAGAATTGGGATTTTTCTTACCTGATATTCCTCTTGGGTCTTCAAATCATCTGGTCTGGTCCAGTCTGTCTTGTCAGGTTCAGACAGTCAGTCAGCAGCCACCTACAGTACATATTTCGTTGTACCCATGTTTATTTGTCTGTATATCTACATGTTTTAGACCTTACGAAAGTCGCTGTACTTTTTGTTGTGTCAATAAAGTTCTCTTATAACTACAATGTGTACAGACATTAAAAGTTACACACTTGTCTCAAATAATACCAAGTAAATGGTAGTTAAAATGCAGAATTGGAATTTTTCTCACCTGATACTAGTATTCCTCTTGGGTCATCAAATCATCTGGTCTGCTCCAATCTGTCTTGTCTGGTTCAGACAATAGTCTTTACTACTGCATCAGTCAGCAGACACCTAACTATACAGACATTAGAAGTTACACACTTGTCTCAAATAAGACCATACAGTTGTAGGTAAAATGCATAATTGGGATTTTTCTCACCTGATATTCCTCTTCGGTCTTCAAATCATCTGATGTGGTCCAATCTGTCTTGTCAGGTTCAGACAGAAGTTCTCACTACTGCATCAGCCTTCATCTAACCATACATACATTATAAGTTGAACACTTCTCTCAAATTACTTAAAAATCTCTATTACCACACAAAAGCGCCCCCATCGGTTGCTTAACTTGGTGCAGCGTTAACTCGTGGGGGACAGTTGCCGCAACTTATTTTCAAAATTCTGTCTTTCTGCTTCATTCACCTCAGACGATATTTGCCTACAATAGTCAAGAGAGTATCTACGACGATTTAAAGTACAACTTACCACCAAAACGGACGTGGCGCGTCTTCCTGGGCGGAATTTTTACCCAGCTCGTTCTTCCCTTCCATGCTGCACACTCGCCATCTTGGAATGGCCGCGTGTTTCACGCACATGTGCCACCTGTAAATCACGAGCAAAATTTGCATTCGACAATCAAGTTAACACATAACGTAAGATTAATGACAGGCCAATAGGAAATCACCACATATGCAGGCCAGAAAAATACGATGGCTTTAATCTTACGATATACGAATCAGGGTAAAAGCAAATCTAGAAAGTATTACTGATAGCTTGTAACCTTAGAACATACAAGGTGAAACAAGAAATACAATAGGAGTTTTCAGACTTTCGGCTGTGTTTCGAGATTATCGTGAGCAAAACTCCTATATCAACTTGTGCATAGTGTAACAGTTAACAGCTACGGTTAATCTTTTTTGCCTGATCAGTCTTAAAAATCTTACTTGATGGGTTTTCCAGGCCACGTGTAATAGGCAGGACGATAATACACTATGTTGATACTGAAATACACCTATAACAAACTCAGTCTCCACTTTTACCGCCTAAAACGTCCACATTCTAACAGGTGTGTTACGCGCCAATTTTCCTGACCACCGGTTAAAGGTGACATACTGAACGACCGTTCCGTTGTGTTCTTGATGCCGATTGGCTAGTACTTTCCGGCGCATCCAATCAAACAGCACGTTACAAGGGAAGAGCGCTCACCATAGCAACGTACATAGCAACCGCGCGCCGCCATCTTGGATGGCGTAAATAGACCCAAATAAAGCGATCTGTTCGCAGTGTGGTAGGTTGTTGTGCCAAGGTTTTCTGTGAATTCTAGTCGAAAATCGTCAACATGGGACAAGATTACTACGGAGTTCTAGGTCTGACGCGCAGTGCGACGGATGGAGACATCAAGAAGGCGTAAGTTTAATCTTATTTCTCAAATTCAAAGGCAAATGTAGTTTCTTTTGGCGATCGAACGAAAATATCAGAACACCGGAACATCTGTTGGCATTTTACATGTTGCAGTGTTTCGATCCCTCATATTTCTTATCGCGATTTGGTATGACCACAATGCTCGTGCATGTATCATTTTCAGTGTTGGAAAAGTTCGTTATACTGTGCTGTGAATTTCTTAAGGCTAATGAAGAAGTCACGAAACAGTAGTGATCGATTGCCCCCCCTCCCCCTTCCACAACATTGAACCGGTGTCTTCTTTGAAGCATTTTAAGCAGCAATTTTTCGCAATACATGAAGATAAGGCATATTATTACGTAATCATCACCAACAACGCATCCCTATGCTATTAACTCAGTTGCGTGGCCAAACATTTGTTTTGTAACAGGGTACCTATTGACCGGCTACAGGTGAGAAATACAGGTGAGAAATAAATTGTGTGAGCTCACCATTAATTTTCAACACACACAGATACCGTATCCTGGCCCTGAAGTACCACCCAGAGAAGAACAGAGACTATGGAGCGGAGGAAATGTTCACCAAAGTGGCCGAGGCCTACGATGTACTCAGTGATCGTAAGTATAACTTGATGTTCAGAAAACACCTTAAAAAAACATCTTAAGTACATATACAGAGACATGCAAATTCCCTATATGATATGCAACTCCTACATAATATATGTATAAGGGGGAATTGTAACTGTATTTGCTGCATGTAATCATATCAGTTTGTTGGTTTGTGTTTACCTACATGTACTAGTATTTGTTTGTATGTTGTCATGTATGTAGTTTTCATGTATACATGTGATGTCTGTTCTAGAACACAACATATATATACAGACTTAACCCTAACAGTGAGACTTTGTTGATTACAATGCCAAATTCAGATTTACCATAATACTGGGAGAGTTAAATGGAAATAATTTTTATTTATTCAGCAACTCTTTCTAAAATCACACGTTTTTTCCACAGCGAGAAAACGAGCGACGTACGACCAGTTTGGTGAGGAAGGTCTGAAGAACGGCGTACCTGAGGGTAGCGGGGTGGGCGGGGCCTGGACCACGGGGTACACCTTCCATGGGAACGCTGCCAAGGTGTTCAAGGACTTCTTCGGAGGAGACAATCCTTTTGCAGGTGAGAAATGATTCAACTTATCATATATTATCATGTATTAAACTCATACCTTTGAATCACCTTTAGTACAGACCCATTCCTTATTTGACAAGAGACTGAGACACACATCATGCACACACAAAGAACCATTACTCTTACACCAGTATTGGTTATGACCCAATGTGTAATGGTCGGTCCCATACTCATAATACTTAGCACTTAGCACTTCACATCACAACTGATGTGTTACACACTGAAGTGGCTGTTTGACCACTGATTCTCTATTAATTACAGGGTTAGGTAGTAGTGATACGGTTAACAAAATCACCATGGCACAGTTATAGCTATGGTTTTGTCTCATTTTAAGTGTATTTTTGTGTATTTCCAGACTTCTTTGATGGCCCTGACGGAGACCTGACCATGGGGTTCGGAGGTGTCCACGGGCGCGGCAGGAAGAAGAAGGACCCGCCCATCGAGCGTGACCTTGCCCTGACCTTGGAGGAAATCTTCCACGGCTGCACCAAGAAGATGAAGATTTCTAGAAGAGTAAGTTTTTCTGTTTTTGAAGAACTTTCTTGGTTGAAAAGTCAACTAATTGTCCAGAAAGATTACTGCCTTGGGGGATAGCCCACAAAAGTACAATGAGTATATCACAATGTTTGCTACAATAGAGTGCAAGTTGGCAATCGTTTTAACCTTCCACCTTTGACCCGTCCCTAGGTCATGAACGAGGACGGCCACACGTCCAGTATCCGTGACAAGATCCTGACGATCACGGTGCGGCCGGGCTGGAAGACGAGCACACGGATCACGTTCCCCGAGGAGGGCGACCAGGGCCCCAACAACATCCCGGCAGACATCGTGTTCATCGTCAAGGACAAGGCACATCCCAGGTTCAGGAGGGAGGGCAACGACCTCATCTTCACTGCCAAGATTCCTCTGGGCAAGGTGAGATACAACAGTAGCCATTGTGAGATAGCACAATCCCCCTAGCAGATATCTTCCCAACTGCAGATGGTATGGTGAGATTATAGTAACCATTGTGAGATAGAACAGTCCCCCTAGCAGATATCTTTCCAACTGCAGATGGGTCAGGTTTGCAACAAACGTGAGATGGGTTGATCCCCCTAGCAACTACCTTTCCAACTGCAGATCACAAACATGTATCACTGCCAAGACCACTTGAGAGTACAGATACATAATAAACTGTACTACTCTGTTGGAGGTTTGCTATATCTGGGTGCTGTCCAGTAGTACAATGAAATGATTGTTAACATTTGCCATCTTCCCCTGCAGGCCCTGACTGGTTGTAATGTAGTAGTCCACACCCTGGATGACAGAATCCTGGACATCCCCATCAACGACATTGTACAGTAAGTCATCGACTTTCTCTTCTCTTTTCAGACAGTGTATGGTACAATTCAAACCTGTAATACAGCTTGTATGGTAGCCTTCCCATGATGAATGCAGCAGATTCTAGTATGATCTAGGCTAGGAATTAATAGATACTGTCACAATTTAACACCAAGCAGGCCTAACACATAGGTTTCTTCCTTCTGCAGTCCCAAATACACCAAGATCGTCCCAGGAGAAGGCATGCCGATAGCCAAGACTCCCACCAAGAAGGGAGACCTGATCATAGAGTTTGACATTGAGTTCCCCACGCAGCTGACACCGGAGAAAAAACAGCTTATCAGACAAGCCTTGCTTCACTAACAGGGACCAAAGGACATACACTTTAACCATGTAATATCACAGGGAGCATTCTCGTGTTGGGTAGTCATGTATTGGGGGATTTTTCTACCCGTCTCCCCCAAAATTGGGTCTTCCTTCTCAATTGTGTCCAAGAACACTTGATTCTATGGATGACATTGAAGCGCACATGCATTTGGACCTTCCCCACCCCAAAAGGGGTAAGAATTCATGACAATACATGTATCTGGTAACAAATTAATTCTATTTCATACTCTAACACTTAACTTTGGATTGCAAGGGAAAGTCAAAAAGGTATAAACCGTACCTGTTTTTTGGAGTAACTTCAAAGTAAAGGTTTATGTATATATTCTAGTACATGTATGATGGTAGTAATGAAGAAATGAGACCTGATTTGTACAGGGTTATGATGTTATGGTTTTTGTTAGAACACAAAGAGAAGATACACTTTCTAATCTTAGATAGACTGAAGTTTATTTCAGTATTTATGTCCTTGTGTATAGACAAGTCACTGTTACTGATTCGTTCGCACATAAATAGCTTAAAATATGTTTAAAGCATCTTTGTAAACAGCCATAAGTTGGCAGCAAATAGATGATAATTCTGCAAACTTACAGTGCATTAATGACATCATACTACAGCTATATGTAACAGTACTTTTGGACAACATTTGCTGAACAGTCACTTATTATTAATAACCACTACTATTGTACTTTTGTTTGTAAAAAAAACATTGTAAAAATAAAGCTACCATTTGTTGCTCTAAACTTGACACTTTTTTCTATAGATACATATAGCTTTGCAACATAAAACGCACAAGTATGGTCCTGTAACTTGTACACTGATATCTAGACAACCAGTCGTTGTACTCCATGCAGTAATGCCCTCTTACAGTCGCTTCACAAACTGCAGCACGGCGTGTCACTTGATCAAACATCTCAAATCTCAACAGGCCAGAAATGTTGGTGCTGGAAGCTTGTTGTATGCCTGGGAGTGGGACAATTCAAGAAAACAATATAAGCATGGAGGGTAAAAAAAAAGTGTTACAGCATCTAACAACAAATTCCCTGTCCTAAAAAAGGGTTTTGAAGCAAACGAAATGCTCAGATACAGCAGAAATAGAAATTGTCACATTTCAAGTACATTTACTGTATTCATGCGTGATCCTTAGTACAGTATTGCCACCTAGCAGCAGGTCTGAACAGTGCAGCAGCAGGTGGAACAAAAAGACCACTCTGAAAGTACCTCCAAACGTACCACATCATTGGGGGAGCAGACAGGATATAGATAGTCAACAGTCACACATAATAGCAATAATAGACAATCATTTGCAGTTATGACTGCGATGTTTGTGACAAAGGTTTTGAACATGGTACCTGTTAATGCTGGTAAGAGTGGGAGGTGATTTATAAACAAAGAAAAACACTATAGAGGGAGCTTTAGGAAATGATAGAATTAAAAAAATGTATCCACTGACAGCGAAGGGTGCCATGGGTCCGATGTTTGCTCCATATCTTCTCATGACCTCCCGTACGTGAGAAGGTTGGATGGCATCAGCTGAGGCTGGCTCTGGGGCTGAAGAACCACTCTGTAGAACAGAAGTAAGTAGATTTGACACTGTTGTTATTATCTAGGCCACATAAACTTGACTTGCAGCCTTCAGCCTCTAGAGACCCCAAATTTAATTCACTGACTACAAAAAAAGTGTGATCTAAAAAAAACCTAGCCTGGGTACCATCCGGATTTTCGCTCCGCAACACTAGAAAAAATTGAGCGTTGCTGAGCGAAAATCCGGATGGTACCCAGGCTAAGGCAAAACCCAACATACTTAAAATTCAAAGGTTAAGAGAGTGACAAATATTGTACTAAGGGGATGGCACCAGTGAGAACTCTATGATTTTTGTATTCTGAATACTTGAGGAACTGTTTAGATACAGGTATAAATAATTAACCTTTTTCTTTTTCTTCTTGGACTTGCCGCTGCCTCCACTGTTTGAGCTGAAGTTGAAGATGGAGGTCTGTGGGGTGGTGGGGAGGGTCAGACCGGCAGAGTTACTGTTCTGTGTGGCTGAGGAGGGAGGGGCCGTGAACTGACTACCAAACATCAGGGGCGTCACATTACCTGGGAGGGGGGGAGAGGACAAAATGGTCAAGTTCTCATCAGATACCTATGGGATTCTTTAATCTCAACTTGATGATTAAGTTATAGTTCAAATATATTCAAAAAAATAAAATGACAGCGTCTGAAAATGATTTGTCTGCAAGTCTTTTTGCAATACAAATCAATTATGACATATCACATAGAATAATGAAATTTCAAAGGTGAGAAACTTCATTGAGCAAGCAAAATTATCATTTACAATACTATGCATGACATGGAAATATACATTACGCAGATATAACCTCGAATGATCAAAAGCGATGTCTTTATTCATGGTAAAGTCATGGTTGTTTTTGTACCTTCTCAACTTTTTCAACAGAAAACACAGCACTTACTAGTAAGTTTCAGTACTTGTTCTGATAACTCAAGAAGTATCTGTTTAAATGAGAGACAGGGTAGCCTACATCTACCAAAATAAATGGGAAGGGTTGTAGTACCTGACTGACCTGTAGGGGTGGTCGGTGTGGAAGGGGGGGTCTGGTTGGGACTGCTGGGACGAGAGGAGGGGGACTTGATCTGTAGAGGTGGAGGGGGGGCGACAGAGATGGTATCAGGGGCAGAGCAGAGGTGGGGGGCACAGGGCTGGAGGGGGTTGTTCACTGTTCTCTCTGTGTCCTTCTTGATAAGCAGTGCACAGTCGACAATCTGGCATGGGAATGACAAAGATATTACACTAGACAGTAGATGGATAACATAAACGTCTACAAAAGCAGGCAAATTTGAAATCCAACAATTTTGTCAAAAAGATATAAATATATGATGAGAATGAGTAGAGAAACATGAAGACTTACAGTTCCTACAGTTTCATAAGCCAGATAACTGAGTATCTCCATGGCCAGTGGGTTGGGTTTAACCTCCAGTGTTCCCAGGTCCATCCAGTCTCGGAACTTACTCGCTTTCTTATCTGTCAGAAGGAGGACATAAAACTTGATGACATGACTAACAATGAGTACAGTAAAACAGATCGAAAAAGCATTCTCTCTCTCTCTCTCTTTCTTTCTCAGTCAGTCTTGAAAGACACTGACTGCACAAATTGGTGAATTAACTACTACGGTAGCATCAAAAAATTTCAGTAACCTCTAATGCAAGTTCAGAATGAAAAATGAGTCACAAAGAAATGCTGGTACAGAACTGTCCAGAACATGATTTCCCACATCCTTTGTAGTTAACCCCTTTCCAAGACCATCCCAGTCTGTAGACCTGTAACTTACGGAAGGTAGTCTGCCGTGCCTCCACATACTCCATGTACTGTGTCTGGTCCATACTGCGGGTCTGCATGTCTGCTCGCTACCATACAAACACAAAGAAACTTCGTTTGTGTTAAAATTTAATCCCATTTGCAGGTTAAATGTTCTAGAAATACACATGTAGGTCTGATTACAAACATTATAGAGACACAAACACAAGGAAATGCTGCAGTGAGAGGTAAGCATTACTTGCAAGTTTGAAGTTAAATTTTTCCTGGTACCCACCTCAGCTCTCTCCTGTTTGACTTCATCAATCTCGTCATCCTCAAACAGGGACAACAGCTCTCCTGGAAAGTGAGGAGGATAGATAATTTTAAGTATTTAATTTACACATAACTCATAAGCAAAACAACAAAATCATGTCCACTATTTAGCCAATTATTTCAAACAGGTAAGGTAAATTGTATTCTACTCCAAGAATATCAGAAACAACTGTAGGATACTTCAATTATAACATTGCTATCAGCCTGTAGTCTACATATATTTTACATGATTACACAGATGTCTATGTACCTGTTTGGTCAATAGCAGACAGGAAATCATAGCAGAGTTTCCTCCTCTTGGCTACAGGCTGTTTGATATCCTCTACTTCCACCTCTCCTCCCTCCTCCAGACCTGAGCCTTTCACTACCTTCTGTTTCAGGTCCTTAAAGTCCAGATACCTCAGGAGACGTCTTAGCTTCTTCTGCAAGGAGATGATAAAGACTTTAAGACAAAAAGGAAATGCACAGTATGGAGATCTTAGAGGACATGAAAAATACTGTAATGTGTGTGTTAGCAGGTTTTGATGGTTGTCCTATGCCCAAATACACGTATGTGGGTCTTTGAATTGGCTGGAATATTACAGACAATCAAAAAACTGTAAAAACTGTAACAGTTTCATGGAAAAAGTACATGATTGTGCAGAAAAACATCAATAAACATTAACCAGTAACTTTTAAAAAGTTATACATGTAGCATACAGTTACAGTAACAGGAATTTTGACACAAAAAAAACTTTTAATTTTATGTTTTCTGCAGTTTCCAAACAGTACAATTTTCCCCTGTTCCGTGACACTGCATAATGCGATGACAATAAAACCAGACATTACAGCTTATCCACCAGTCATTCTCCCTCCCCCTTAGGGCCATCCCCCCTATATTACCCTGGTGTGGAGACTGGTTTATGTGAAAAGCCATAGCCCTAACAGTGGGGCAGATTACAGTGTACAGGTCTCGGGTGGCTCCACGCATAAACTATGCCTCTGTTTTATCTCTTTTTTTATTATTTCCCTTCCAAAGGTGTGTTTTATGTTGATAAGCCAGAAAAACATAAAGATATTGAACACCTTTTTTGGCAAGTATCGCGTAAGTCCTGGTTCTTGACCTTTTAAAACTTGTTTTATTACATAGTATTCCAAAAAGCATTTGGCACGCACATACATGTACCTCTGTCACAGTTAATGCTAGCTAACAGGGTCAGGTCAAAGGTTAACAGGGAAGGTTACGACCTTGACAGAGGTCAATTGTGGGGGTTATAATGTTTCCTTTCCAGGGGCAGTCAAACCGCCATGACTTTTTATGTCACCCTTATTAAGGGATTATCAGATTTAGCAATTTGCAACAACAAACATTTATGTGCAGTGCAGTAAACTAAATGTACTGCTCAGTTAACATACGGGGGTCAATGGGGGAAATGGTTCATAGGAAAGCTATTACTGTTTTGGTTTTAGTCAAGTTTGTTTCATGGTCATATACGAGTCAGTAAGAAAAATTATTATATAAATTATATCTATTTTATGTCATCAATAAAATAATGGGTTATAAGTTAGACTAAAGGTTATATATTGGCAGACAGCCTTGCTTAACCATGCCAGATTTCCAGAGAATAGATTCAGATCTTTCAGAAGTTTCATCATTTGGGTCTTTAGGTTTACCTATAAACTACAAACATACATAAACACCCCTCCAACCAAAAACCATCCAATAAACATATAACCCCTCTGTCAGAGGTAGTTAACATACAATAACATCTGGCTACATAATGTATCAGTTTTGTGGACAGTTTGAAACATGAGCACATGTAGGGGGTCACCAGATAACAAGGCCTAAAACTACTTATTATAGACCCACTGCTGCTTAATTAGTCATTATGTCTGACCCTGTGACCTGTAAACAGATGTTAGAGGGTAGGGAACATTTGGGGTCACCAAGGGTCAACAGACAGAGCAGTCTGGCCTCATTCTAGGGTAGAAAAATAAATACCAGAATCATTAGCCACTGGTCTGTCACATTTTGTTACAAATTGTTTGTAATCAAAAGTGAAAAAGGCCTGTTATTTTTAAAATGTGATGAGATACACTTCTATAAATATGATTCAAAATTTCAGGTGACAAAATCCTTGTTGTGATACGACAGAGGGTTGCTTTCCATTGTAACAATAGCTTAACAATGATTTCAGCACTAAGGACAGTGCCAATTTCCACTTTGAATGGAGGAGTGATTCTAACTTTCCATATAACTGTGCATTTTATGGGCATCTTCAGACCAGATAAGCATGAATCTATAAGATATTCATCTTTTTCAACAGGAAACTGACTTAGATCCCATACATCGACACAAAATCCACAGAACTGTTTTAATCTGCTTTGCATGATTTTATGCGATACACATATTACATGTTACATTTGTCCCATGCTGTATCCTTTATCAAAGCAGGATATCAAATTACAAAGTTATTATCAAATTTCATAACCATGTAACAAATTCTGAAGAAAATGGAATACTGTTTGAATAACATATTGTTTTCTAATATAAATTTAAGGGTAACAACATGTGCTTTTTCATGAAAGGCATTGAAAGCTAAAACAATGAGTGAAAATGTCTACCTTTTATTGTAAATTCTGACTCTCTAGTAAATAAAATCACTTCTCTATCTATGCATAATCAGCAGTCAGCTATAAAAGTTCAAACAAACAAACCCTTCTGGGCACAGTGTGGCAATTTTCTTCAAATAAAAGAGGAAAATCTCCCACTGGCAGCACTTTACAGTGGCACTTTGTCTGCGTGATATGTGGTATTATGAAACATGACAAGGCCGCGTTTAGTCGCCATTCTCTGCTAAACTGTTAAGGGACGAGCAATTTGACGGGGCAGGACCTTACAAGCCCCCTCGTCACGGGGTCAGCGGCAGGGGCGACGGGGGATGGATGCGCGGTGGAGAACCAAACGACGCCTCCATTATAGGCTGAAAATTGACCCTGTCATTCCGGCAAATTAAATGTGGCAAAGTGAAGAGCTGGCGGTGTTAGGGTTTTACAGCGGCACAGGTCCCCGATGTGGCGGAAAATGGCCCCATAACAGCCGGGAGCGGCGGTAATGTGCCCCGGGTGATCGCGCGTGTCCAGTCCAATCATTTACCGCCCTGCCCCCGGAGGGTGCTTGCCACTTTGAAGTGCAGGCCGCAATGGCTGCGATAGGAACCCGCCAATTTCGTGCAATTTGTAGCGGGATTTCGGCCGGGTCGTTACGGGCGCGTGCAGTATTATGTAGTGACTAATGGGGAAATGGCATGTAGAATGTTGGCAGGGCTTACAGGATTTACTTCCCAAACATCCCAAAAATTTCCATCACTAGTTCGGAGTGGGAGATCTTAGAGGGTGGAATTAATGGCCATAATTGAAGCACGGCTGGTGGTCACAACAAGATGCAAAGAGACGCCCGCGTGTCAGGTGACAATGATGATGCCTAATGGGAAAATTATATAGAACTTTCCGTGTCATATCCCCTGGCATTGACATCATGTTGTGCAGCAAATTCTTAAAGGTACGATTTTCAACGGTCTCAAAATTGTAAATTGTAGGCAGGGTTTCCCAAGAGTTGATTTCCTATTTGTACTCTCTTCCATACTGGTATCTCTATGCTAACTGAAACCAAACTTATGTAACAGCACACGTTAGTTGTTGGCCTAACTCTCTTCTTATTTGTCAAAGGTGGGGAAACTGAACCACTTTGTTGTGAAAGAAAATGTACCAAACATGTGGATGCCATTTCATCACTCAGAACTGGACTTCTGACCTTTCAATCAGTGTGCTACCAGGTCACGACTCCTCCTTCCCTCAAATAACATTCTTGTCCTTGCAAGTGGCAAATTTCACTTATCAAGTGCCTTTCTCCACCTCTGATGTGTTCTAGAGAAAAAGCCAACATCCATCTCAACACTCCCAGGTTTCACCCTACTGATAACATCAAACAAAAGACGGTACATTACCCTAAATGCATAATTATACAATAAAGCCAGCAACAACTCACATATTCCCCTCATTTCTGCACACCTGAAAAATTGGGTGATTTGGGGAAGTGTGGCCGAAATGTCTAGCCTGAGGACAACTACACCTCTTCTACGGTTCACACTTTTTAGTTTCCATTTATCAACTGTCAGCTCATGCTTCTTGTTTTCATCTAGAACTTCAGTCGTTCCACGCAGCCCTACATTTTGAAGTTGTGCTTCCTCATATCACAAAAGTTTCCACTCAGCATCACCTTTGAATGGAATCTTCTTGAACGAGACATCAATTGAATGAAAGAGCTTCTATTACAGAATTCTATCCTGCTGGTCCTATCCCCTACCCCTATACTACCAGTTGACCCGGGGCAAGCCTGGCATATACTTTTCATGCCCGGCAATGTGACCTGTGAGCATCCCCAACGATTACCGGTCACACGCCGGGGGCGCGCGATGGCCGCCCCACCTCCCACTTGTGTCGCTAACCCCGGGCGTATCGGGTGACATCCCTCGGGGAGTACACTTAGTGCATTGACCGAC